GCCTTCAGAGACAATGATAGGACATATTATTGAGATGGAGGTACATACGACTCCTTTACGACTTTACCTTGTATATTTGCACAGTAGTAATATATATACCTTTATGCAAGAGCTGCTTGGTAATAAGTAGCCATTGTACGCTGAACTTATTTAAGTGATTCTTCATTTCTTCTTCCAAGAAATTTGGTTAATTTCATCGTTTGTGTGTTCTTTTGCTGATTTCATAAAACAATCTATTCAAGGCATTGTTAATTTGGGTATGAAGTATTGATATAGATCTTGAGAGAGTCATACCTCAAAAGCTAGCTATTGAGGTTGGAGAGCCTATATCTATATGAACCACACACCGAAACTCCGTACTTTTCAATGTGGGATTCAAAGTCCCACACTTTGCAATGGAATGACTAGTTCCAGACGAACACTGCTATGCCGGCATCAACATCCGCACCCGTCGATTGCAATAGAGATGTGCGGTGTCTGCTCTGATACTATTGATATAGATTTTGGGAAAGCCATATCTCAAAGCTAGCTATTGAAGCTGAAGGGCCTAAATTTATATAAACCACACACAAAAGTCGATACTTTCGATGGGAATTCAAGTCCTATACTTTGTAATGGGAATCATGACAATTACGCAATTTTTGACCTATCAATTTCCAAGAAAAGGCAAATATACTCTCTCTATTTCTCTTTCCTTTACACGTCTCTACCCCCTTCGGCATTTAGGTTTTGGGTGCAGAATACACTTTTGAGCTTTCGATTTCCACCATTATTTTCGTATCATACGGATTTTCACCATTTTCATAATTGGTTATGTAAAATAAAGTAGAAATTGATACAATCTTCACACACCAATTTGTTGCCACATTAAAGCTTCCTGATTCATTTTTAAAAACAAATTTCATTTCGCCCACAACTTTTATCCACTTTTAACCACACATTTTATAGACTCGTAGACTTTTATCAACTTTATTTGATTAAAATCTACATCAAGCATGCTCTTGATGATAGACATCCGTCCCTTATTGTTTAAGCTTTTATATGAACTGGTTAGCATGGCATTAAGTCAAGGCAAAAGACCTAAGTTCAAGTCTCGTCGCTACCCATTTATGAAAATTGTGCACATGTTGGGTCTACAAGGGAAAAACTGAACCTAACTTGCACAGGAAGCGTGTTCGAGGCAAAATAGAAATGAATGCACGTGGTTTCTTTCTAACAACTTAAGTTTTTAGATAGAAGGTTTACCCTTTCCAAAATTTGTGCATTCATGTCTAGTGTGTTGGGATTTTTTTTTTTTCTATTTCAAAAAGGAAGTATTAGTGATAGGAAACAACTAAAAGTCTATTCCAGTGGAAAACAAGGTGAAAGAGAGTTTCAGTCAGATTATTTAGTATTCTTCTTAATAGATGGGATTTTTGTTCTATTCATTGTTATCTGCTTGAAGTTTGTATAAAGGGGACATAGGTTTTATTCACAACTATTGACTCAGAAATTTATTTTTTGTCCGTCCATTACTTCTTTTCTCTTGAATTCTAAAGTTTGTTCAGGAAATGTTTCCTTAGGCTCTTTCTTTCTTTCTTTATTTTTTTGGTGACGCTAACCTTTGTTCACTTTTTGCATGATTTATGATGCATTGTGATAAGGTTCTAATTGTAAAAGGCAGAATTCTGTAAGAATCAAAGGAGCAAAAATATATTTATTGAATTAAAAGAAATTATAGCAAGAAAGGAAATAACAAATAGCCATTCGAGAGGGCTAAAACTCTCCTAAAGGTCTCCCTTCTACTCACTCCATAGAAGTTCCCTACTACGTCCATTCTCCTCTCTATTTATAAGTGTTCTGTAACTACTTTGCCTACATCAGCTACCCAACTAAAAGAATTTTGTTACATTCAGCTATTTATCCATTCTTTCCGGATCTTTTAGAATATATGAATGTTAAGGGATAAAAATCTCACATCGGTTAAATAGCGAAATATTGATCAACTTAAAAAGATCTTAGGCTACTCTTCTTAATAAGGTTGACCTTATTAAGATAAACCCTAAATCTTAACATGGTATCGGAGCCCATTAAGCTCCAACGAGCGATTCGATCCGATTTGAAGTCTTAATTAATGAGCAACGGATTGCAAGATTAGTTTGCTCAAACGAGCTACTATTTTGCGGGAGCATGTTAAAGGATAAAAATCTCACATCGGTTAAATATCGAAATATTGACCAACTTAAAAAGATCTTGAGCTATTTCTCTTAACAAAGTTGAACTTATTAAGATGGACCCCAAATCTTAAGAATGAACTTAATTGGTGGCTTATCAATACCCTCGGGTTCCAAATATACCTTGCCCTCAAGGTTGAAATCAAGGAATTGAATTTTAAGGGCTGCTAAAGATTCCTAGGAGGCTTTGAAGTTTGTTAGCCCCTTGTATTTATTGTGATGCCCGATTGGATTCTTCCTCCATCATTTATGGTACAAGCTTTTTCCTTGTAGCCATGGCATCATTGCCCTAGAAAAAAGCTTAAAGGGTTGTCCCTTCTCAACGCCATCAATTTCAGCTTCCCCTAAATATACCAATTGATAGGGTTCTAGTAGATTTTTTCTTTGGTAGCTGACTCTGTATTTCTCCCCCACCCCACCATCACGGATCTCGTAGGGAGGGGTTCTGCTTTCTTTCCTTCCCATTGATTTGGGGATGGAAATAATTTGATGGCCTTTTGGGCTGGATTCTTCCTTCTAGTTTCCAAGTTGTTGCAATCTTCAATTATTTGGGCCATATCCATGATTGCCCAATCCCTGTGGACATAACAATTGGACTTTAGCCCGTATGTCTTGTTTCAGCCCATTTATAAATGTTCCCTCCAACACCCCCTCTGTGATATCCGGCACACGTGCAACCAAAGCTTCCAACAAGCGCCAGAACCCTGCCATTGATCTCCCTTGTATGCTCTGACCCATTGCCATCGTGACACTGCCATAAGTAGCTTCACCTGATCCTTCTGATGCTCTTCCTCTATCTTGTGTCCAGTGATCAATCCAGAATGGATTTGTTGGAATCCGTTCTTCTGTACGGCATCCGGATCTCTCTCCCTCAACCTTGCTACTCAACTCTACTTTCAGATGGATGAAGGCTGCCTCAGGGTGAATTAGTGATGCCGCAATGTTCTGGGTTGCCTCTACTGTCTGCATCATCTTGGCCATATTTTGTGTAAGGTGTTCCCACATATTTTTCCAATTCGGGAAGGCATTGCATCTCTACTTTCAATTTCTTTATCTCCTTTTCCATGATTTCCACTCTACATTCTATCTTCATCTGGCCAGCAGATCATTGTGCTCTGATATCATTCGATAAGGTTCTAACTGCAAAAGGTAGAATTCTGTAAGAACCAAAGGAGCAACAATATATTTATTGAATTAAAAGAAATTACAGCAAGAAAGGAAATAACAAATAGCCATTCGAGAGGGCTAAAACTCTCCTAAATGTCTCCCGTCTACTCGCTCCATAGAGGTCCCCTACTACATCCATTCTCTCTATTTATAGGTGTTCTGTAACTACTTTGCCTACATCAGCTACCTAACTAACAGAATTTGTTACATTCAGCTGCTTATCCATTCTTCCTGGATCTTCTAGAATATATGAACTTACTTAGTGGCTTATCACATTGCTTGAAACATTGTAAATTTGCTCAATATTTTACCTCTCTTGCAATTACTAGTGCTTTTGTTGTTGTAAGTTTTTGATTTTTTGGTAATTAATAGATCACTCCTATCTAATTATTGTGTATTTTTTTTTTCTTCTGTAGATGGATTACATTAACACTTCTCATCCAAATTTTATTGGCGGGAGTAAAGCTGTAGAAATGGCACTACAACAGATCAAGTCCACCAGGGTTGCTGCAGTTATTCCCAGGCAGAAAGTAAGTATTTACTTTTCTGTACTGATCTGTCCGCATCTCTATTTGTTGGCTTGATAAGATTCTGTGGATTAATTTTTGATTTGCATTTGTCAATTAGGATACAGGAGATTCAGACAAAGCACCAAATTCTGAGAGAAGTCTAAAATCTCGTGCTATTATTGCCAGGCCTGTGAATGGAATAGTTCCAGAGCAGGTTAGCTATCTATGGGCACCTGGACAGACCTTGGAACCTACTTATCTTCTTTGTCTCTAGTGGTGTTAAATTACCAAATAAAACTTGCAGAATTTCATTATTGTAATGCTAATATTTTTTCAGGGTTTGCATGACAAACAGGGTGTTGGATCTGCTGCAGAAGTCGAGAAAATTGCACCACCTGGTGATTTTTCTTTTTCTTTTTGTTGGAGAAAAAAAATT